AAATTTGATGTTTAGCGTACTTTTCCTAAAAATAACATTAAAGTCTATGTGAATTTTGCACGACCCTCGGCACGTACAAAATTATGAGTTTTCTTATTTATTGTAAAATTCCCTCCATCTCATGTAATTTTGAATTGTTCTGTTCGTGCAATGTTCTGCCTCCCAATTTTAAGGGTGCAGCATGGGTTTCGTGTATCCAACGCTAGTCCATTAGACCGAGTTATTAGACTTTATATGCTGGTAATTTAATGTTTCTTTTTACAGGTTAGTTCTGCATCAACTGGTCGTTTGGGGTGGCTTCAAGTAGCAAATTTTGTAAAGAAATTACACGAATTATCATCTTATGCTAGTAGGAGGAGGAGTGGAATCGTTATGCGCAAGCGGCGAGCAGAGGCGCCGGGGCACAGGGACACGTGCCTCGGCGGGAATAATTTAGGGGGGGCAATGCCATCCCTAGAAATTTCATATACTTTAATAAGTAAAAACCACAAAAAGGTAGAGTACAAGCCTCTGATTTTCGTTGTCTTGTACGGGTTTATTCGATTGAGGATGAATTGAGAGTATTTTTACACTTTATTTCTTTCCTTCTTGAGAAATTTTAAGTCTGAACTGCTCGTGGTTAGGTATATTTACTTATTATGTACATATAACATAAGTAGGAGAGTAAGTAAATTTACGCTACCCTTTATTAAATTAGTTCGCGAAAGTCGATAATTTTTTTATGATACGTTCTCTCGTAATACCTCGGGCCGGGCTCCACGTTGTTGCGACTTCACTTCTACTTTTGTTTGTGTTTATTACTAATAATTTATTTATTGTGTACAGTCAAGCAATGCTACTCATGGTTTAGTACTCGTATTTATAGGTAACCACGCAAAACCTTTGCTCGTTAAAAGAAAATGTGGGTTACTATTTAAGAAAACAATTATATGACGTCGCGGCGCTAAAAACTCATTAAAAACATTTTCGACAGTTTTACATTCTTTATGTTAACATTTTAACGAAACCAAAATAACCGTTTTGACAAAAAAAATTTTAGTTTTTTAACTTTTACATTTCGTTTTTTTTGTAATAAAACCTAACATAATTTCTGTAGATTGTACACACAAAAAAGAAAGTCTTTGGAACAATTTACTAAAAATTTTGCGTTGCGATTTGAAAAAAACTGTATGACGTAACGGCGCTAAAAACGTTTTTACAGTCTTACATCCTTCATGTTGTACAAAATTTTAACGAAATCATAGGAACCATTTTGCCGACAAACAATATTTTAGTTTTTTATCTTTGGCATTTTTTCTGTTTTTTTGCAATAAAACCTGGCACAATTTGTATAGGCTGTACACTGAAAAATAAGGGTATGATGCCGTTGCGGCGCTCCAAAATTTTTTTCAAAAATCTGGTCCGTTATTTTTCGTTTCCATATGCCTAATATACATATCGATGGCTGAAAGGTAGGACCTAGTAGGTTGTGGAGTATGAATTTTACAGAAGAGCAAAAAACTCAGTAGACGGCAGGAGTCATTCTGAATTGAAATGAAATCAAGTAAAATCTCATTTTGAAGATTATTAGGTTCTGCCTTTCAGCTCTCGATCTAAAATTTGAACAAAATCCGCCGAGCTGTTATCTCAGAAAATTGTCAAAGTACGTATTCACGTCATACAGACGGGAAAAATGTTATTCTTAAAATGATTTAAAAAGACATTTGATGAAATTTTAACGTGTTCAAAAAACAGTGATCGCATAGCCACCTAGCTCGAGCTAGGAAGCTAAAAATAAACATTTCAACGAAATTTGCCGAATTCCAATCAATTCAAAAACTCAAACGTAATTACCTGTACTAATTAATGCAACAAGTGTTCATTTAAATAAATTATTTATGTATCCTCAAATTGAATTTTATCAATTTTGCTTTATTAAATCATTTAAGTGACAGTTCTGTATGAATTTATGGGCATTTTTATTACTTTTGTTAAAATGCTGATGTAATGTATCAGCGTTAAGACTACATTTCAATTGGCAAAAACTGCGTGTTTTTCGTAAAAAAATGTTACTTGACACGTGACGTTAAGGAGGGACACGGAACGGATGCGGCATTGTTTGTTGTTGCTATGTGGATATTGGATAAAGCTTTTAGAATTTTGGAATTGGAAGAGGGCCTTTAAATACTGAAGTTGGTGCAAAAAGTGCATCTTTTGTCAATTTTGAGACCGAGGTGCTGTTCGTTAACAGCTTCGAAGACGCACGTCCTGCGTTAAGTTTCGTATTATTCGACCAATAAGGCTTCAGTCAAAAAGTGAAAATTTTGAGAAGGAAGTCTTTTCTGTCGCAATTAGTGGCTTCGTCCGGATTTTTGGGATCATAACAGAAAACTGTAAGTAGTCTAAAATTTCATTAATTTGTGGAATTGTTGGGGCGTGTAACACGGACGTTATCATAGTCAACTTTGTTTGCTAGAATTTTTGAAAATTGATTGAATTTGTGTTTTTAGAATTTTTGTCCGTCTTCGTTCATGTAAATCGTATGTTTGTTTGAACCCTTTAATGATCCAGATAGATGTCTCATGATTAATTTTGTTGATCCGCACCCAAAGTTTATTTCAGGTGTATTCAAAGTTTGTTTAAGTAAACTTTTTCGAATTTAAGAGTTTTGATTGTGGCAATTATTTGCCATAAAAAATGGAATTTGAAGTCGAGTTTGGAATTTTTCATTGTGCCGTGATTCAGATATATTTTATGGTGTTTTGCGTTTGGTTCATTCTGGCCGGGCCATTGCACACAGCATATCATTTGCTCGCCCAACGGGGGGGGGGGGGGGCAATGCATTTGAATGTTAGGGTCACAGCAATTTGTACCTAAGAAAAGCAACAAATTATTTCCAAAAAAAATGAAGCCTAATTGTGAAACTTTTACTATCGTCATTTTTAGGAGTTATGTTTAATTTGCTACAAATAGTGCCCAAACATCTATAAATTGCACTTTTGCACCCCAACTACATGACCTAAGAAAAGCGACTAAGTTTGAAAATTATTTCCTAAAAGAAGAATATTTATGAAACTGTTATCATCGTTTTTAAGGGTTGATGTGTGTAGATTTAATATCAATCGCAACATTTGATGTAATTGATGTCAAACATCCCTAAATTGAACTCTCTGTATCGTTTTCGTGTGCTGTAGCTTTTTACCATGATACCATGGTTTAGAATAAGTTTTGCATAATTATTGTCCTATTAGTTCATTGCTTTTAGTCACTTTGAAGTCGAGATAATAATCTCTGTGAACGGGGGTGTATTGTTGTTGGTTCGTGAACTGTGGTGGCTTTCTTTGGCAGTTTGTCAGCATACCATTCCCTGGAATGCCCACCTGTACAAGGTACCCGAGCATAATTCCATATGGCAGTTTTGGTGTGAACGGGTTACGAAATCGATTTTTCCATTGATTAGTAAGACCGTAATTTATATCATGTTAATGAAAGAAATTGTTCACCTAAATTCCCACCCACAAAATTATCTTAGAGAATTATCTACAGCCAAGAAATGTCGCTTGCACAATTGTTGCATACACTGGATTAGCATCTGAAAAGACTTGTTTATTTGTATGCCTACGAAATATTAGAATGCAAAAACGGCAGTAACAATAATAAAAATCTTATTTACTAATATAAACGTTTGTGGAAAGAAGTAATTGGGCAAAGGTGCAGTTAATGGGTTATAAAGGTAACAAATTTTGTCACTTTTTGAATGCAAGCAATTTTTATAAGTGCTATAAGATTATCATTACAATGAATTTTAGAAACATCCTTATAACAGGAGCGTAATGTGTGGGTTCTCTTAACTGGTTTCACTATACTTAATCTTGTAATAACGCCACGCAAAGTGCTTTATTCACACGTTTCATTATAGCAACCGACAACGAGGCTATTAGACCAAACAAGTATGTTCAAATCCCAAATGCTAATAGCTCTCAATTAGTGCTTTTGCAGAATTTAAAATTAATTTATTTGCAGTTGGACTTGTCAATCATTACATATAAAATGATAAAATCAAGTCAGCATGACGGTAACTTCCGTGAGCACTCAACGTAATTAAATTCATAATAACCAAATAAGGCGGTGATTAACAACGTAACAAGAAATTATTTGAGATAATTGTGACGTTACTACATGGTAGAGAAGTTCCGAACGAAAGCGTTTCGTGGATACGTCTCAATTGGTACATATTTATTACCCCCAAAAATATACACACTACTTCGTTACGCTGTAACTATTGAGATGAGAACGCTTTCTTTTCCGATAACTTACATTCTTAAGGATTGAATTAAAGTTTATTACATGTAAAAATATTCTTCTTGTCAACCCAGAAATTGATGATTGTTTTAAATAACGTATGCTAGGCTACGGTAACATCAATATTAACATAAGACTTTCCTTACGAACGTTACACGCTATAAATAGTTCAAAAGAAAATGTGTATTCGGCTCTCTTAAAAGTTATAAACAATTTAATAGAGCAATAAAACAAATACTAAGCCTATTATAAAAATGACGCTTAGGTTGGAAGCACTGATTTATCAACGTACTGAGATCGTTACCGCTGAACTTTAGCCTCAATAATGCATTTCATTTGGCTATTCTTTGCAAAATTGGCGAATGAGGAACAGTTTTTAGTAACGCAGAGTTTATTCACCTCATCCGTCGTAACTAAGACATTTTCAAATATTTATATACCCGAAAAGATGCCATAAACATTTTTTTGTATATTTTTACTGTATTTTTTTAAATTTTACTAGTCCAGCACAATGGACGATATCGTTCGGCGTCGATGTGTTTAATTTCCCCCAGGAATGTTGTAATCGACGATAACAGGAAGCAGAACCACAAGATTGAAACTACGTAAATTTACTTACCTACCCCTTGGCTTTGTTTCGTGTCGAGCTGTGTAGCAGGAGATGTTTAATGCACTTTCTTGTTTAAAAACTCAATAATTTAATTTATTTATTCAGAGTTGGTAAATTACATGTTTTGTTCTTTTATGTTTTTTTTAAAACATTACATGATATACTACAGTTTTAGCAAAGCATCGATCTTCTCTATTTCTTTCGCTTTTTTTTGCAGCTATTCTTAAGTAAAGCATCGGAATATTAGTGCTTTTTTCGGTTCAACATAAAAACGCTAAGTTCTCACTATTTTATGGCGAGGTATATTTACTTATACATATAGACAAATATTTACAAGAATTATACAATAAATAGTAGAAATAAATAATGGATGGGGGTAAGTTGCGCCACGCGGCGCAGGGGAGAGTCAGTCAGGGTGCGGAGTAGAAAATTCGTCGGGCATCGTCGTGGAATCTTCGAAATCCCAAGCCGTTGTTGTTTCCATCGTGTAATCTTCGTCCGACGGCACCTCGTCGGTTACCAAAGCTTCTGTGGTAGTAATCACACGCGCTTTTTTATTTTTAACGTTTTTCGGTATTTTTTTCCGTTTTTTCGTACCGTGTAACGTTAGTTTATCACCGAGCTTATTATTATGTCTTTTTTTATTTGTCACTTCTACTCTTTGGCACTCATCACTGTCTTCGAATTCGCACTTTTTATTACTATCATTATTATTTAACCTAACTTGAGTTTTTCGATTGTTATGGGGTGTATGTGGTCTTTTTTGACACAACTCACTTTCCGCTTCGCCTTCTAAACATTTTCGTTTCTTCTTCTTCCGTTTTTTCTTTTTTCGACATCGAGGTGAATCTGTTTGTGAATCGGCAGCAGGTGAAGATGCCGCCGGAATAGACGGTGATACTGTACAAGAATGTGAGTGATGCCGTAACGGATGGAATTCTTCTGCGCTTTCTGGGGAGACGGCACGCGTTAGAACCCTCGTATACGATGACAAGCGTCCTAACTGTTGATTCGCACGTAACATTACTTTTCGAGGTTGTCCTTTACGATTTAGGGCTAAATATAAGGTTCTTTTATCGTTAGAATACTTCGTTGAGGAATATGTGTTGTAGTGATGCTGTTCCATCATCTCATTAAAGACGCATTCGTCTCCGAACTCCTTCTGCAACAAAAGAAATAAACATTTATTTTTCTCCTTATTAGAATCGCTTTTGTTGGCATAGTCCAAGCATTTAGAGCGCCATTAGAATAAGATGGAGTTTGATATGCGAAGTATTTATTTTTTGAAGATTTTAGCAACTGGCACGTGTTGCTATAACATAATCGATTGTTATATTTATATCATTGTTTTATAAACAGTCTTAAATATTTCATTTCTTTTCAAATAAAATTATTTTAAAGATGTTTTACAATTTGTTTAAGATAAATTACATAATTTATTTACAATAATTCACATGATTTTATTTAATGATGCAAACGGTTTGCTTCGACTTAGTTAGAAAATCAAACTTCCGTTGTTTGTTTATTTGATACGAAATCCTTATTTATCCCTTTGGATAACTTTGTTTCAAAGCATTAGAACTAAAAGCTTCCTTTCGTTTCCATTTGCCGAAAACAAGAAAGTGATACTAAAAAAACTAATTCAGTAAGTAGGCGACTCGGAAAATCCGTGTTTACGACAAATATTTTTCCATTCATTAATTCCTTTTATCTAATTTCATTCATGCTTTGTTTCACTAACGTAATTAAAAGATTCGGTGGGCTGAAGCCTATACAGTTTTTACGTTCGCATGACAGAAAAACTCGAACCAACCTATTACGTAAAACATAGGAAGTAGTTAAAGATATATTATTAGCAGGCTATTTATGAGTTATATACTTATAAAGCTGCCACATCGCAAACCTATTCATTGACAGATTTACATTCCTTGTTACCGCATAACATGTACAGATGACATCTTTGTTTTAAGTGAACTTCCCTTCTTATTTTAGTACAAACTCTTTTCATGTTGGCATAATTGTTGATGTAACTGGTGACATCAATCAATAGATCATAATTTGTTAGCAAGTCCCATAATTTATTCGGTTTGGTGGCACGTTGAAGTGGATGAATCGTCAGTGATCCTGTTCGATGTAACTGAGCAAGCTTTCGACTTAACTTAATGGATTTTTGTAATAAATAAAATGAATCATTATCATATGTTTTAAAAAATTCTCTATGGGAATAATTAATTTAATTGCTTCAACCGATTATCGCTAACCATCCTTTTGACTTTTCAGGTTTGACTACTCGCTTAATTTTACGCTAAGGAAAATACGGTCATGCAATAAAATGACGATAACAACCTTTTGGTATCTTTAGGATAAGCTCAGATTTTAGTAGTGAAACAAGTGCATAATTTATAATACCAATTTACGATCGATCTTAATTCAAGTATCAAAGAAAGAATTCATTTATAATATACCTACTAAATTTTCTTCCTCGACTTCGGACGCTCGATATTACGAAGCCCTAGAAGGGACACACGAACAAAATAAAATAAAATCTAAAATTTCGAGTTATATCTTGAAATTTTAAAATTTGAACGCAATGAAAATCTGTGAGCACCATCTTGTAGAGCTTAAAAACTACCTATGAAGAGTGTAATTTGTTTCTTTTTTATATTTTTTCAAACAGGATCAGAAAAAAGTAAAAACAATATGGTTAATTTTGGTTAATTTCTGAATGTTTAAAATATCATTTTACTAAGCCCTAAAATACGCAAGTTTTTCTGTTTTAACCGACGCTTTCCCCATGTTATTCAATCTTATCTTAAACACACTGTATATAAAGAACATTTTTAAGAATTAAAGACAAAACTGTAGGTCGGGATCGTGAATTTTAGTGGCTCTTGGCTAACACTCCTTGAGGTCCTACCTGATTATCCAAACGGATTATTTAGTCCAACAGTTGTATTCGATAATCTATAAGACAGATCTAAGAGTTTTTGTTGTCGCAAATAGCCTTGAGCAAAAAATCGATTAAGCGATTATAATCAAACGATAATCGGATTTGATTATTATCTTAAATTAATCGATTAATCAATTATTTGATTAGGCGATTATTTGATTAATCAATACAGCCAATAATCGTTATTTGATCAATCGATTATTAAGTTAATTTTAATTGACTATTAGCTCGATCATCGGTATAGCAGCCACAGTATAATTCATTGTTATATTTTGTCGCGATTCGCTTTTACTTACTTTGCTTAGGTTTAATCTGGCGTAGTATGAATGCGAGCAATAACCTAAATAAAGGCGTGCATACTAAGAGACTAGCAAAAAAATCGACTAATCGTTACTTGATTATTTAGTCATTTGATAGATTATTTGATTAATTGATTATTTGATTAATCGCTTATTTTTAATAATCGATTCTCGATTATTCAAACCGGTAATCGCCTAGTGCTAGGCGCAAATAGTCATTATCACAAAAGAAGAAAACAGGTAAAGATGGTTCTTAGTAATGACTAATAAACCAAAACAACAATATTAATAAAACTTGTGCGGTATATTTTTTAATGATGTATTTTACAGATCTTTGTACACGAACACAACTTAAATAGTAACAATTAAATATGAACATAAAAAAACATTTTTAACAACAACGTGAACATTTTGACAAAGATACCATCTAGGTATCTTCTTCGTAATCCACTAGTTTAGGTGTAAGTCAGTGTCTGAACAACGCACGTACACCAAATCGTCTGGGGTCTTGCAGACTTACTTTACACACACATATACAGGTACCTACACCCTCACGGAAGGTACCGGTAATACTGGTCACGGTGTTAACATCCAGGGTACTTTCTTTCGACGTGTAGAGGTTTCAGGCAGCGGTGCCAGTAAATCAGGAAACAATGAGACCTGATGCAGAAACTCTTGTGGACGATGACGATGGAGCGTTACTGGAGGTGGAGTTAGCAGATCCGGTATTGGGGAACGCTGAAGCATTTTTGGGCGATTCATGTCAGCGACTGGCCCGCTATTAAAACAGTGACAGCCTTAAATGTCATATGCAGCTGTAATTAAAAAAAATGTGCTATTGTTTGCGTTTTGTCCGTCCGTCCGTCCGGACCGACTTTTACCGTTTTGAGAACTACTTCTAAGGGAATGGTCCTAGAGTCCTGGTCCAGTAGGTAGCCTATACCTTGAAGGTGTGCCAGACGGCCATCAAATTTCGCCCCCCCCCCCCCCCGCGAATGATTACCTGTTTTTGAAAGTAAAACGTGACGTGCATAACTTTTACATACGACAACCAATTGGTCTCAAATTTCGCATACGCATGCCTTTAGTGGTACTAAGTTAAACATTAAATGGGGGGGGGGTACACACATGTTCTACTACCCTTCTTTCTATCCTCTTATGAAAGTTCGGGGTGGAGGGAGAGTGGAACTAGTTTTATCCTTCATGGTACTCTAATGAAAGGTCTCAACCAAAGGAATTAATTTCTACCAACCATAGCCCTCCTCCTCGACCTCTTATCGTGATCGGGTTTATTCCCTTATACCTCAAGAACGGATTGTCGGAAGAGAGTACTCACAAAGGGCGATTGAGGCATCTGCAAGAAATATATCCATTCGTGATGTCAAAACAAAAGCTATTTCGTATACACTGCCTTTTTTTGAGCCCCGAAAAAAAAATTGTCTCAGATCGACCCGGAAAAAAAATTTTCTTATAGAATGTGGCCTGTAGAATCCATAATTTCAACAGTTCCAAGATTGGGCTACTAGTTCAAAAGTTACAGCCCTTTGAATTTTCTTTCGAAATTGGTTTCTAGTCTATAACTTTTGATTGAGAAGTCTGATCGAAAAAGTACGAATTGTTTTGGATTCTACGCACCAAAATTAATAAGAAAAAGTGTTTTCCCGAGAAATTTTGGTGCAGTCGATTTTTGGTAAAAAAGGAAGGTTATACACTGCCTTTTTTTGAGCCCCGAAAAAAAAATTGTCTCAGATCGACCCGGAAAAAAAATTTTCTTATAGAATGTGGCCTGTAGAATCCATAATTTCAAACAGTTCCAAGATTGGGCTACTAGTTCAAAAGTTACAGCCCTTTGAATTTTCTTTCGAAATTGGTTTCTAGTCTATAACTTTTGATTGAGAAGTCTGATCGAAAAAGTACGAATTGTTTTGGATTCTACGCACCAAAATTAATAAGAAAAAGTGTTTTCCCGAGAAATTTTGGTGCAGTCGATTTTTGGTAAAAAAGGAAGGTTATACACTGCCTTACTTTGAGCCCCGAAAAAAAAAATTGTCTCAGATCGACCCGGAAAAAAATTTTCTTATAGAATGTGGCCTGTAGAATCCATAATTTCAAACAGTTCCAAGATTGGGCTACTAGTTCAAAAGTTACAGCCCTTTGAATTTTTTTCGAAATTGGTTTCTAGTCTATAACTTTTGATTGAGAAGTCTGATCGAAAAAGTACGAATTGTTTTGGATTCTACGCACCAAAATTAATAAGAAAAAGTGTTTTCCCGAGAAATTTTGGTGCAGTCGATTTTTGGTAAAAAAGGAAGGTTATACACTGCCTTTTTTTGAGCCCCGAAAAAAAAATTGTCTCAGATCGACCCGGAAAAAAATTTTTCTTATAGAATGTGGCCTGTAGAATCCATAATTTCAAACAGTTCCAAGATTGGGCTACTAGTTCAAAAGTTACAGCCCTTTGAATTTTCTTTCGAAATTGGTTTCTAGTCTATAACTTTTGATTGAGAAGTCTGATCGAAAAATACGAATTGTTTTGGATTCTACGCACCAAAATTAATAAGAAAAAGTGTTTTCCCGAGAAATTTTGGTGCAGTCAATTTTTGGTAAAAAAGGAAGGTTATATACACTGCCTTTTTTTAAACCCCGAAATAAAAATTGTGTTTTCCCGAGAAATTTTGGTGTAGTCGATTTATGGTAAAAAGGGAAGGTTTATACACTGCCTTTTTTTGAGCCCCGAAAAAAAAATTGTTTCAGATCGACCCGGAAAAAAAATTTGCTTATAGAATGTGGCCTGTAGAATCCATAATTTCAAACAGTTCCAAGATTAGGCTACTAGTTCAAAAGTTACAGCCCTTTGAATTTTCTTTCGAAATTGGTTTCTAGTCTATAACTTTTGATTGAGCTGATCGAAAA